CCCACACAGAAGGGGACACTTCCTGTGCAGGGTCAGAGCCGAACCTTCAATCCATGTTCACCAAAAAAGAAAGAACGATGCCACCTCCCCATGTCCACCCCTCGTCCATGGACTGCGTGCCACGCGGCATATTTGCTGCGTGCTTCGCTGACCAAGGACAAATGCCAGGAGGCCTTGAGCAAGCGCTGTAGGAGAGACAAGCTGAAGCTGGAAATGTGAGGCAGCTGGTCGGGTACCAGCTGGTCTCACCATACAAAAATTATGAAGTGTCTTCATAAATTAGTCATGCAGTAGTTATACCAGTAGTCTTTATACTCAAAGGTCTTCATACCATTTTATACCTATCCAATCACGATTCTGAAGAAGAGTCCCATGTCCTCTTTTATATCTTTATATACCTTCGACCACTCAGAGAGCACTCTTGGCTCAGTGTTCCAAAATACGTGGAGAGTTACCAAGCTCCTCGTCTATGCATACTCCGTGAGTCCTTGAATGATGAGTGGGGTCACTTTCCGGGCATTCTATAGAGAAATGGTGTCTATGCAGTGTCTATGCAGTAGAATGACTGGCATCTTGTAGAGCCTCTATACTCACGCGCTAAGACTCCTCATACCATCCACGCGCTAAGACTCCGGACCTGACCTCTCTCGCAGAAATCCGGACCTCCTTGCCAAGCCTTTTCCACTGGTTCGGGCGAGTCTTAAGGCGGGTGTAGATAAGCCACTCGGGTTCTAACCCACCAAGGTCGTCCCGCTTGGCTCCGGTCCCGGGCGCAAGCGCAAGCGCTAGAACAGACTGGGTCAGTGTCAGACCAGACCTGTTGGCAGACCGGACCATGTGCCGTAAGAACACTAGAACACCGGTAAGAACACACTATGATGTATAGTCTAAAACAGTGGTCCGCCTCAACCCCGAGAGAAAATTCACAGGGCACCACGTGACCCAAACCTTGCGCCATTTGCAAACGTCCGCCGGTTCCGCCGGTTCCGCCTCTTGCTCAGTGCAGTTTAAGGCGATGAAGTCCGCATTCGGCAGGGCCACAGTGTAGTTGGCACCTAAAAGGGGGAGTTTATATCACTTGGAGATCGGAGAAGCTCATGACGCTGGGAGATATGGCAGCGGCATTCCAGCAGCATGATGGATGAAGACAGGGCTAGGTGTCACTGGAACATGTTCCCTGTAAGGTGCTTACCCAGAAGTTATTATATGTGCAGAAATTGATGCCTTTTTGTTGAATCAAAAGGGTAGAGACGGTAGAGATCCTTGCACGTCGCACAGACATGCACAGACTGACAGGATACAAACAAGATAGTTCCTCATGGTTCCCAACTTCCAAGCCCCGGCTTCGTTTTGAGGGAGAACTGCCTGGAGAACTGCCTCTATACGAAATAAACATGAAAGTCAAAGCTACAGAGTTTTCTTCCGAGAACGACGCAGCCAAATCAACGGATCCGTGATTTATTCCATGCCAAAGAAAAGCCACCTGGTACCTCCAACAGTGCCGCCACATTAAGCACAAATCACAAGACCAAACACTGCCCTTCCAAAGGGTCCTTTTTTTTGAGGCCCGATAGTGAGTGGATGATAGGCACCTTAAAGCCCTCCAGTAACAACCACACCCGTTTTTGGATCTAACCATCACCCTCACCCATGTTCTGTTTTTCGCGTCATTCTAAATCAGCTTCTCTGCAGCTGAAGCGACGACCCGATTGCAGTGCCGGCTGGACTTGCACATCATAAGCCTCGATGGGCTTCGACGCACACCTCGGATGGAGCAAGGAGTGGATGGGGCCAGGTCGACGTGTTTTCGCTGCGACCCCTTGTGGGAGGATGACTCTGTGGCCTTGTGACATGGATGGACAGAGCTTTCTTGGTCAAAATTGTGCGAGCTCACTGGAAGGATATCCTTTATGATTGCGGAATCGTAAATTCAAAGCAATTTGAGCTGGGGAAAAGCAAGCTTCTTCCTGGGCTAAGCGCAGCGCAGGGACAGCATGGAACCCCCGCGCAGCTCCGTCCGGCCGTCCGGCAGGTCCGAGGTACAGGGGTTGCACTCGAAGGTAGAGCAAGGTCAAGTCCACATCCAAGTCTTTCAGGGTCACCAACGAGCCCGCAGGCAGCCAAGTCGAGAGAACCTGCTGGCGATCCGAAGCAGGATCCGAAGCAGGATCCGAACGGAAAAGAGACACCGTTTTTGGAGGATTGGAAGAACTTGGGCGACCTGGATCATGGAGGAATCGACACTGAGTGAGCTGCCACAGTCTTCACCTCAAACTGCTGGTGTCTCCAATTCTGCGGAGTTCACCTTTTTCAACCAGAGACACCATCGAAACATTTGGCGGGCTGAAATAGTTGCTGGAATCATCGACTGCCATGCAAACAGGTGGACCACCGCAAAACGCGACCCGTGCACATGCACACAAACACATCGACAGGGTGTACTGCATGCATTGACGTTTTCTTTTTCACCCTTGTGGGTTGCTTCTTCAGTGCAAGCAATTCATGCCACTTGCAAACCCCGTCGAGCCGCTGTCGGTTCATCCTGCAGTCGTGCCATGCATTGGATCTCCTCGGTGCAACAAGGATGGAATCGAAAAATCGGCTGCCCCAGAGATGGGGATTTCAATGGATTTCAGCTGTACAGGACAGATGAGTTTATAGACATCCTGTTTGAATGCCTTTCAATGTTTTTTTCAGTATAATTAGAGAGATGAGATGGGTTTATCAGTTGGATGAGTGGTGCAAGAACGAACCGAACCGTCTGGTGCATGGCACAACCGGACGGCTCAAATGATCTGGAAGCGCCGGAATCGGCCAAGATCATCTCTGCATGTTCATCTCCCCTAAGGATCCAGCCATACCCTCGTTTCGAAGGTGGGACTGGGGTGGGTGCCAGGCTCCAGTCGTACCGAACTTGAGGAGGTACGACTGAATCCCTAGGGCTCCTATCCCAAACACTCATATGGGACTGCCATAATTATATGCCTACATTGACCCCGAAAACCATCCCTGGCCGTTTCTCGGCAGTCCCATGGCAGTCCCATAGTCTGTGTCGTGTCTGGGTATTGGTGGGTGTGTTCTTGGACTCTCTAACAACATAACCACGCACATCCAAGCTTGGTTTCCTACACCACCTGAGCTCCACCGCTCCGCCAACTCTCCATCCTTCGCCTCTCAGATCTCACTCCACCGCCCTTCCCTGGAGCTGCGCCACATAGCTCGTCTCCGGTACCAAACCGTCGATCTTCACCACACCCGGCACCTGCACCAGGCGAGACGTACGCCCAGGAACTCGAGCCGACGCGGTGGAGCCCAGTTCGGGCCATCGTGGCATATCGGTCGGTTCAATATTCTATCCCAAACACTCCATGGGACTGCCAGTCCGGACTGCCGAGAAACGGCCAGGGGTGCCAGGGGGGTCAATGGGGCGGCAGTCCTATGGCAGTCCCATGGAGTGTCTGGGTATTGACACAGCAGCCTTTCCTTCTTCTTTTTCGGCATCCTCCACCATCGCGACAACCTATGGAGCTCCGCTAGACTCTAGACAAGCTATTGATCATCGCTTAGGTATCGCTTTATGTAAGGCAGCAAGAACAACAATAAGATGTGCATCTAATGATCGAGGTGTACCGTGTGAGGGTAGCGCTTGTGGTTGTTCACTTGAAGTCGTTCCCTTTTGTAAGCTCTCTGCCAGAGTTGATGATGCAGAAGAACTTCCACTTGCAGGATGCATTTCTTCAGCAGTACTAGAGGTGGGGGTTGAGGAGGCAACCGGTTCCCTTCACAAACTAAGATCTGATGTACCCTTGCCATTGCCCCATGGCTTCGCATCACGCCTTCAGCCAGGCCATCCTTGTATTTACACGACCATACCAAATCCAAATCAACAATACAGTTCGTCGGTTCGTCACTTCAACGGCCATGAACGACCACTGCCCCATCATGCAGTTACTGCACAAGTGCAGCCCGGATCTCTGCCATTCCACCACTTCTGGCGCCCTGAATTCTCCGCTTTTTCTGCGCCTGTCGGGCTGCCAGCTGCCACTCACTCTGCACAGGCGCGACTGACCCGGAAGAGGCTTGACAGCCTGAGGTCAGTCGCAGGCTGCGGGCCGAAACTCCTGGCACCAAAATTCTTCATGGCCCATGACATTGATGCCACGCATGCGAATGCAAAAACCCCAAAACACCCCACAATTAGTCGTACTGGTTTCTTCACCGTTTTCCGTAGTGATCCCCGATGAAGATCATCAGCTCTGCGCTTCGCCACCCATATTGGGCTGGGCAACCCGCTAGCCCTACGCGCTGACCTCGCGACCACCCCGCTCTCCGCGACGGGGCCCCCAAAAGCCCCTCCGAGCTCCAGCGATCCGCGCGTCGTGTGTCCAACTCGTCCAAGGGGCGGAAGTCCACACTGGCGCTCCACAGCACCGTGAAGCTCAGATGTTCAGTGCCCAGCTCTACCACCTGCCGTACTTTGCGTGGTTTGGGCCGAGGGCACGCCAGCCGAGAAAAACATGTGACGGTCCCAAACCGTGAGCTCCGGACGGAGGACGGTCGACGGTCACGTCCGGAACGACGTGAAACGGAGCGAAGACGATCGAGTTTTCTGTGCCCTGCTTTCTGAAAAAGGTGAGTTCTGCTGCATTTCTGCTGCCGCAGCGGGAAGCTGAAGTGGACGACACGAAACACACACGCCGGTAGCCGAACGTGTCGTAGGTCGGAACGGAGCTGCCGACGCGGTCGACTGGTCCGACTGGTCCGACTCGTCCAAGTTCTGCAGCAGACTGGGATCTCTGTGGATCTTCTTGGCGATCGAATCGACGGATGAGTCTGAGCGGCCAATCCTCCGAGACGGTCGGTGGCTTTGCAGATGGCGGCCAGAATCGGCTCCAGGGCCACCCTGAAATGTTGGTCATATATTCTGTAGAATCCATGTACCAGCACCTTCCAACAGGTCTCCGAAATGGAGGGTTGGGAAGGGCCCTAACAGGTTTCAATTGGTGACCTGTGAAGTCGGTGCTGGTAGAAACCAGTCTTGCTGAAACGCAGCCGACGCAACCAGGACTCCAACAAACTCGAGGCCTCTGCTGGCCGCAGGAGCTCCGCTGCAGGGGTGGAGACCAAGAAGCTCCAGGAGACCAAAGGTGAAGCTTTCTCAGGCTTCTGTCCTTGCCCAAGGAGTTGGCATTAACTATCATGGGTCGATAGCTTGGTAAAGTTTGGATTCAGTGGATACAAGGAGAAGCACTTAGTCACTGGTCGGTAACTGCTTAGTCGGGGAGGTTTTTGGTGGTATACCCTATACTGCACTCCATGGGACTGGCATGTTATGCATATTTACTGATCAGTTGGGGTGGTTTTAGTGGTCTGGCCATGGGATAGTCATAATCCCAAACACCAACCACCAGCTGACCGTGCGAGATGTGTGGGTTTTCTGGCTGCGCAAACGATAAAACTTCAGGTTCCATGTCTGGGGGACAAGGAGCTCTGGGAAACCCGAATCAGTGCGTTTGGCTAGCTACATCAGCTACACCTGGAAAGAGAGAACCCCCCACTTGTTCACCTAGATCTGGTCACCTGTCATACATCTTGAAACATCCATGGAACATCATGGAAGGGGCTCTCCATCTTCACAGAGCAGTTCTGCAGGATTTGCGGCATCCATCTCAGATCATATCAAACATGAAGGAGCTGCAGCTGCGCAGTCAATACCACCTCGAGAACAGCTATACCCCAACAACAAACATCCGGAAGAAACACTCCCCCAAAGGAAAACGCTGGCACGTGGATGGCAAAAACATACTCCCCGCGTCCATCCCCATTGCCATGGTCATCCCTTCGACCCCGGACGTGGTGTTTCGGTCCGCCAGGATGTGTCAAAGGGTCCATGTCATATGTCATCGAATCGATCAGTGTCTTGTTGATTCGGTCGAAACAATGGTCGGGACACACACACACACACACGTCACTACTCGACACATGACATTGTCATTGATGATGATCTTTGTCCTGTTTTTTGGTCCGTCAACGAGTCCTTCGAAATCGCATGTCCTCATCATCTCACCTTCCTTCCTTTTTTTCGCATTGGGGAAGTCTTTGGGTACACGTGACGGAGGGTGCAGGTGGGACCACCGCCATTTGGCGGGATGAAAGACGAGAACTCAGCTTCGCGACTCGGCATTGGCACTGGGAGGAGCGTCTATGAGACAGTCGCAACTCGTGTGCCTGACGCTCCCACAGAAGGGTTGGTTCTCCACTCGTGGGCAATGGTAGTGGGTCCAGCAGCAACAGCACGTGCTCAAACTCAGGCAGTTGTGAAAGCCGTCATCATGATCTCTCGGAAAGCACTCCCAACGACAACAAAGCTGCTTGAGGTCGCAGCGTGGTTTGGAATCCTCACCGATGCATTCGTTCCAGTAGTGCACACCCATGCAAAGGCCAAAACCCCCACGACAGCTTCAAACCATCCCGTTTATGTAATGGATCAACCATTTCCACATCACCACCGCAGGGTTTTTTGCCTTATCTCAGCTTCCATCAAAGACCCGTTTCGGGAAACGCAGCCATTGAAAACACGAGGAAACGCAGCCGTTTCCTCACCGGTGTCTCTTTCGTTTTCCACGCATGATTCCACCGACATATTGAGGAGTGTGACCCCCGTTTTCGTCCTTGTCCCTTCGGGTGAGTTGAATGATATCGTTCTCAGTCTGTGGTCCGAAAGAATTGCAGGAAGTCTGCGAAGCTGAAAGTTCTGATCCGGTTAGTCCCTTTCTCCGTATAGTAGCATGAACATAGATCTGTTTTGGTCCAAAAAAGAAATTCAGCGAAGATCAGCCAAGCAGCCCCAAATGATGCACACAGCGGCATGTCTGTTGCGGGGAAGCTACATATCTGTCGCAAGCAGCAGCATTGATAGATAGACCTGATGGCAAGCAGGGTTCAGTGGATATGTCAGTTCGCACACGCACTTGCAGCAGGCTGTGAAGCTCGAATGCCCACAAATGGGCTTATCACATCTGCCACAGCCGGTACCGCAGCAAATGCAGTAGTTCAACCACCAAAGGTCGCGAAACATGTCACCGGGCTTCATTTGACCGCCATGTTCCAGGCCCAACTCGAAGTCGTACCACGGCTCGCGAGGCATCGAATCAAGGAGCAGCACCGCGGCAAAAGCGGCGGGTAAATGAGCGCCCCAAACAAGACGAGCCCCAAACGGCTCAAGTCTCAGAGCCAAAATTGGAAAGTCCAGAACCCCCATGAAATCCTCTACAAACAGGCGGTCAACTCCAGTTCGAACCATGATGATTTCAACAAGTGTACTCGCTCGTAAACCCCACACCGCCACCGCCGCGGTGCCAGCGGCAACGAGGTCCGAACAAACGCAGATTTCGGCCCAACTCACCCCGGGTGGGGAAATCACCTTGCCCAAAGTACTGTTTATGGTCCAAAGGAAAAAAGGACCAGCCACTTTGCTTGGGGTGGGCCCACAACACCCCGCTGCAGTCAAGCCTGGTGCCTCAGAGAACTCCTCCCTTCAGACCCTGCTTCGATCGCTCCTTTTTCAGCAACTCCCTGCTTCGGAGCCCCTCCTGGGGCCCCTCAAGCAGACATGGCCTGGGCGGCCGCAGCTTCCCAGACCCCAACCCCGCTCATAGCTCTAAGGCTCGGGTGACCAGGAAGCCGCTCGCCAACGAGACGTCGTAGCGGCAGCCCTGAGGGCGAGTCCCGACCGACGAGGCGAGACGAGACCGACGCGTAAAAATCGACGGCAAAAGCCCGAGATAGATCGCCTACATAAGAGTTTGACATATATATGGTTTAACACGGTCTTACATGTCACCACCATGGTGTTTATAGAGATTTTAGACAACCACATCCAGGTCAAGCATTCTGTTGATGGTCTTGCAGTGTGGATTGTAAACAGCCCGCCAAAAGAGAACGGTATTGAACCGCGTCACACATGTTGAACCTACAAGTTTAGAGTTTTGGGATGTTTTGGATGTACTTTGCGATTGATTCTATCATGGAATCTGAGAATGGCACCCTGAAAGACTGTTTTCCTCAACAAACCAGTGGTTTTCAGGATCCATGTTAGTTTTCAGTGGGGTAAATCCATACTTTAGACCCCTTCCCGGCCCTGCCTGCTGCCAAAAGCTGGTATTCATTGTCCATGTGACCACTCGCCAGTTTCCTCGGTACCCGCCGTGCGTAAGAAATCACACATGACGTATGACGCACAACAAATGTTCACCCTAGACCCGTGTTGGCACAAAAACGGTCTTACACTCTCGAAAACTAACATGGACCCTGAGAATGGAACCCTGAAAACATGTTTTCCTCTACCAACCAGTGGTTTCCGGGATCCATGTTAGTCTTACAGGGTGTAGAACATGGACAACAGAACATCGCACAAAACAAATGCGCAGTGAAAAACGAACACCCGGTTCAGGCACTGATGTTGTTTTGGATCCAAACCGGGAGACCGAACGGTTGACCACCAAAAGGGAACTGAATAGCCTACAAACTACAGGGGATTTCAACTGATCAGGGATTAGGACTTTGGGTTTTGACTCACAGACATTTGATCAAATCAAAGATAATTGTGGGATTCTCTTGGAGGGGATGGTGTTGTCCAGGTGTCCTGGCTGCAGACTTGTTATAGCAAATCCCAGGTGTTGTCCACCCTGCCCACGTTCCGAAAAAAACAGGGTAAATTTGCTGTTTGGGAAATTATAAGTTCAGTTTCTTTCCCACCTGATGCCAATGAATTTTGGAGATCTTGACCCAAATACACCGCCCGGAAAGAACTTTCGGAACCCCTTTTTGTGGAGTGGAGGCATTGTCCAGTGAAGATTGTTGGGCCTCCTGCGAGGGAGGGCTGACGCTCGCAAAGAGCAACTATATATACTGTCGACTGTCAGTAGCTCGCGTTCCACTTCCACAAACATGGCGCAAACGACTGACTGTAAACATGATGCTGTTCGCCTGAAACCAAGCCACATGAAATCACATGAACGTGAGCACCCTCTGGCTACAGAGTACGCAGTGCACAACAAAATGTTCAAAGTAAACCTTCCCGCCCTTCGACAACTAAGCCAAGCATAGCTGCGGATTGTTGGGGTGATGGTCTGGTCATAGCAGATCACGGCACAAGGTGCCAACGCGCAGATCTGCGGCAATGCACCTGCAGCAGCTACCCCTTGTCTCACCCGACCGCTGCTCGGAACGAACGGCCGGGGGGCCTCGGCGCCGGCGGTGCACGTGACCGAGCTCCAAGCCACACGTTCAATGCAACACTAGCGCTTTGAGGCCTACCAGCTGCCCGCTTCTTTAGAGCCCTCCCGACGCAGTTCCCGCGAATAGGGCGCCCGCATCTGTGACAACATGAGCGCGGCTCCAAGGTCTGCGAGCTTTCATGGTGCTGAGGCAACGGAGAACCGCATGATTTGCTGACCCTTGGAAGCAGCCACAAGAAAGTCGAACACAACATGTCTGTCCTCATCATCCTTTCCTTTCATCGGTGATGGCGGCAACAGCATGCGTCAAAATGCCACGAAATCTGCACTTATGTATGTCTGATTCCCTGCGCCTGCCACGAAATCTGAGGTGGCAGCCTGTTCATAGAAACGTACTTGGATGATGGACAAACGGCTCTGTTTAATTCTCTTTATTTTGGCTGGTGCCACAAGTGCTCTAGCCTTCAAAGACCATTGAAAGGGTTAACCTGGTATTGTAGTCTAAAATCCTTACTCAAACAATGGTTGTTCGGTCAACACGTGTAAAAAAAACAAACAAACTTAATGGTGGGTTTGGGCATCCTAAGCAGTACGGTGACACCGTATCCTCCACTTCGCGTGTTGCACCCAATGACTTCACGAATCTGGAGATCGTTGGGGGTCCGACCCACTCGGCTTTGAAAAGAATCTGCAGAGTCAAAGTCTTCCCTCCAAAAATGGTTTCTGTGACGTCAGTGAACCGAGCCATGACAAAAACAAACGCCGAGCAGCTCGGCTTGGTTTTTTCGTTTTGGTGACAGATCTTTGGTGACAAAAACCCACCCTATTGAGGTTGGCCCACATAGAAGGGCTGGGACGGGTGAGAAGTGGCAGGTCTGTGATATGCTGGTGTATGAAAGACCTGTTTCTGAACACCATCCTGGTCAACCACCCTGTTGAGCTTCATAAGTTCATTGCGCATTCCAGGGTTCCAGGGAAGGGAAGATACTTCTCCAAACAGTGCAACCGCGCAGCCCCCCCTAAGAAGAACAACCTCTCCGTTTGCCACCTCCCGTTAAGCCCACTTCTTTTGCAGCACGCAGAGCCTCGCAGTGAATCCTGGACAACAGCTGGGGGCCCAGAAATCGGCTGTACAGACTGTACATCGGCTGCCGCGGGAGCTTGCCGCTAGCAAAGCAAGTATATATGGATGCCAACGCTTTCCGTGGCCAGTTCAAGCGCTTGGTGATTCAAGTTTTGAAACGATAAAGTGGATAGGGCACCATTGGATTCATGGAGTGGTATCAGTTTTTAGATGTTCTTTGGCCTTCAATTAATTGGCGTTCACTTGTTTTCACTCATCTGATTTGCATCTCGAAGCCTCTGGAGCGACCTGTGCAAGATCACTGGGTCACCCTAGGTCACCTCTGCGATGGTGGTTTTTCAGCAGGTGACAGACAGGACCTTGACTGTCTAGGATTCCTGGCTCGAACCTTTGGAAAGAAGGATCTGGCCCGACTACCACACCCAATTGAACACATTCCCAGACTCTGACTAGTGGGACTAGTCGGACTGGCATGTCTTTTCCTCCACTGGTCGAGATCTGCTGCGTAGGGTGGGCATCTATTTCAGTCCTCGTCGGTGTCTGGGAATTGACAAGTCTTGGATCAATCACCAGACACCTTTGGTGTGAATCTAAGAGCCTAACATAGCCTAACAAACCCAGTCCGTGCTTTGGGCTCTATGAGCCTACTTTTGGAACACTCTTGTTCCACCGACTTGGAGGAACGCTGAAAAAACACGAAGCAACTGTCCCCTAAAACTACTACAGTAGTAGCGTTCGGACGCAATGCATGGGGCCAGGCCATCGCCTGCTAGGTTGGAGGCCATCGCTACTAGGGTGGAGGCCATTACTAGTAACAAGAAGCTATTAGAAACAAGTGCATCGCTACTAGTAACAAGTGCCTTACTACTAGTAACAAGAAGCCTACAAACAACGCAAGCAAGACACGAACGTTCGCGGTGCGAAGGATAGATCTGGCACGAATCGAGCCGAGCCGACCCAGTTCTAAATGGTCCACCATGGTGGAAGGTCCACCGATGGCAGTCCCAGTTGAGGTCCACCTGGTCCGGCGGAATATGGGTGATTGGTGTTCAAAGGTTCGATGGCAGATGGAGGTCCATATAAAGAAGCTCGTATAGACAGATGAAGGTCCATATAAACCACCCCAAGTCATTGGAGTCCTTGGGTTCGCCATCAAACGTCCTAAAAATCTGTGAACGACCCACCAGGCGTGTGGACTTCCCTTCACCAGAGTGGCCAGGGCCCCTGAGTTCCAGCTCATAAGTGGGGGCATGTCTATGTCCAATGGGCGCTGTGTGGAATTTCGGGGCCACGACCTGCAGACCTCGTCGGAGCGCCCAAGTGACGTCCGGTCTGACCCGACCGCAGTGACGGGTCGGACCGTTTGAACCGAACGAGGCCGGCCGTCCTTTCCCGAAAGAACCTCCACCAGCTGAGGTTCTCCCCCTTCGCCCCTCCCCGCGCCGGATCCCACCGTCCGGCGCGCGAGGACGGCGGTGAGGCGCTGGAAGGCATCTGGCAGGATGAGGCCCTGCAGATGAAAAGCGAAGATGCAGCAGTTGTTCGAGTCGTAGATGTATAGTAATAAAGAAGCTACTACGTAGGAACAAAGGCCATCGCTACTAGGAGCAAAAGGACGCTATTAGGGGCTCCTGGCATTGCTACTAGGAGCAAGGACGCTACTAGGATACATAGGGATTGCTGTGGTTCCACTATGTTCCACTCGGGTGGGAGCCATAGATGTGCTTGTTTTCCCCTGGTGCCATGCGATCTGATAAGGATGATGTTGAGGCCTACTGGTCGAACAGCAAAACTTGACCAATCAAACTTCTATAGGCTTTGGCACCTACAGGAGACCAGGTGAAGCTGCCTCCCATGTATGTAAAAGTCTATCTGCCACTCGTCCTCATCCCAACCTACTGCGCGAAAAAACCCACGCGGAGCCTTGCCACTGATCAAGGGCACCATCTCCTGAGGATGGAACTGAGATGCTGCTGCCGGTGGAACTGAGACACATCAACAGCGGGAGTCATCTCAACCGACCGCTCCACACTGGTCCGAATCGCCGGTGACGTGTCCACTCCCAGGGACTGGGCAAATTCTCCGAATCTGCACGGTTGCGACTCGAGATGAATGGAAGCGAACTGGTGACTCGAATCACTTCCAGGCTCTTCTTATGGTGATTTGCTGGGAAGTACGCCGTTTCTCGCCCTCCAAATGTACTACATCTTTGGATTGCAAGAAGAACCGAGAAGAACCCTTAAGGACAAGCTTCCGAAGTAACCGCTCTCCTCAAAAACCCAAAACAACTGCACCCAAAACTAAGGCGTCGTCCTTCATCCACCTCACCTTCCTGATACCACATCTTCAATGCCTGTCATCTACCGCCCCTTCACATCAAACTGCCATGTTTCACACAAATCATCACAAATCCCACTGGCACCGCCACACCGGAAGGCGACTTGACTAGGCAAGGAGCAGACGTGCGACTTGACTCGGCCCCGGTCCTCTGGCAGCGGCTTTTGTAGGTCCTTCTCCAAGGCCGGCACCGTGGTGTTCTTGGGCAACACCTGCAGACAGGGGAAAACCGTGCAGTGAAACCGCGCCGAGGCGATACAGCACCCGAAACGGGAGACATCGCACAGAGAGGTGGGAAGAGCCACCACTTTTTTTGTGCTCGAATGCGTGTGGGACTGCTTCTATCTAAGACGGCTTCAACTTTGGGAGACAAGAGAACATCGTTTCTATCTGAGTGTTGGGATTCAGCAGTGTAAATTTATGTAGTTTTATGCATACTAATGTATAGTATATGTATAAAATACACGTCAGAATATATATGTCAGTATAAACATATACGCAAAACCCCATTGACTAAGTGTTCTTGGAACACTGTATCTATTTGTTCAGAGCTTAAGGCTTAAGGATCCTCACTTGTCAGTGCTCTTGCTCCCATGGCAGTCCCTTATTCCATGGAAGCGCTTGGCCGTGTTTGTCGAAGAGATTGCTTCCAAATATTGCAGTTTGTTCATTAGGCCGTTGAAGGATTCAACGTCTTCATTCCTGCAGTCTAACTCTGATGACATGGGCCTAATTGGGCCAGCCCACATGGCCAGCCGGCTGTGTGAGAGACAACGGGAAGCTGCTCGTTCTGCCCAACCCACAAAAACACGCAGGTCGCGGGTGCCAAGATGTTTGGCCATGATCAGTAGCTATAGAAGCTACTAGTAACTAGGACATCGCTACTATAGTAACAAGGGCATTACTACTGTTAGCCCCACTCCTACAGGAGCCGACATCAAACCATAACAGTCATGAAACATACACCACAGTGCCTGATTTTTGGGCATCTGCCCACTACAGCCCACCGCAGCGCGCCCAAATGATCATCACCCTCCGAAACGTCGGTTTTGTCCCGGCTTTCGGTGCCTCCAAACACATCTGCACCGCTCGCAAGAGCCTCGGCCCGTCTTTTGATTAATGGGCAACATGTTGTAGACTAGACCAAAAAACACGGCGAAATCAAAACACAGTGTTGTTTGGTGCAGTACTCTGCGAAACTCCGCACCACCCATTTTTGACAAACTGAAAATGCACACACTCATCCCAGACCTGTCCAACGGCCAAAGTTGATGGACTGGCTAATATGTTTTAATACAGTAATGCCTTATCCACAAGACTGCGTGATTCTCACAGGATGCCAGGTAGACTGCCACAGGAAATGAATGGAAATCCCTGATCCACTCCACGATCGACGCCAAACCCGGTCTGGTTGGTGGTTTGAACTCACTTGAATAATATGAGTCAGTGGACGCAATCATTGCAAGTAAACATTGAATTGGAAATATCCGAAACCACCACCTAGTGTCTTTTCAAGCAAGCGTCTTCGTCTCAATGCCCTGCAGGACCGCCGCATCCAAGGTGGTTTCCAGTTCACGCTCCGCACGTGCAGCACGCGGCAGGAACATGTGCCTGGAGTGCAAACGTGGTTTGGTCGTGCTGATGAGGTGGTTGGCATTAACACCATAAACATCGGAGTCAAGTACAGTAAAACAACTAGTGAACCAGCAACCAAACAGGATTGACACATGGAACAAAACGGAAACATGCGGAAACATCAGTCTGGTTGCTAGTTCTTTGGAGAGCCAGCGTCTATTGCAAGAAACGAGTGAGACCATCCGCGCAAAGCTGCTTTAAAAACCCGTGGGGCGTTGAATGTTGGCAAGTTGGCTGCCAGACCGAAGATCGACACCCCTCTAAGAAAAGAGGGATCGGAACCAACAAGTCACCCACCTCCTCAAAACATGAAACGCACGTAAAATTCTAGTTTTGCTGCTAATCGCAATTTGACTGCCAAAGGAGACTGCCCTTGTCACCACCTGCGGTGTTGTTTCAATCACTTGTATATTCGGGACTCTTGGTGGCACTGGTGGTGCCGGAAACCGACCTTCGACCCTGTGCACCAGGTTTGTGCCTCACGGCCTCGTTGCTCAGCAGCAGCGTCTCCAAATCGACTTCCTGGACGGGCGGTGGCAGTCAACCAAAGCTGTGGCAGTCAACCTATGGCGGCGGAGCTGCGAACCAGAGGGGTGAGGTGACACCCCAAGCAAGAACTCAGCACAACGTTGTGGAGGTGTAGGTTGTCCACAACCTACCCTACACCCCCACGGATACCTACAAAGTGCATAATACTGACTGTAAACAATTTTGCGACCCCCACCAAGAGAAAAATTTGGGCGCACAAAGCAGCCAAACAAAACCAAGGCAAGAGCAAGGAAACGAGCAGGGACGACCATTGTGAGAGATACAGGGAAAACTATCAACAAGGAGGATACAATTTTGGAATCAGGATCTAAGGCATGAGGCTGGGCTGGAAAATGGTCCCTTTCCGGATAAACAGCAATGAAACAAGGGACTGTCCGCAGAGCAAGGGGGTCTTGGGCGACCGCCAATGGGAATGCCACTCCATCAGCCTCCCAAAAGAGTCGGCTGCTGAAGGACGCAGCCAGGAGCCCTATGACCAATGCGGTCTCCCAGAGTCACCTTCGGTCATGCGTCTGAGATGGACCGCCAGGCAACCCTCAAAACGATGGAAACTTGACGTGACTGGTACAGGCTCCACTACTACTACTACTGCTACTACTACCACTACTACTACTACTACCACCACTACTACTACCACTACTACTACTACCACCACTACTACTACCACCACTACTACTACTACTGCTACTACTGCTACTACTGCTACTACTGCTACTACTGCCACTACTGCCACTACTGCTACTGCTACTGCTACTGCTACAACGACTACTACTACTAAAAATAACTATAATAATATACTACTGCTGCTGCTGCTGCTACAACTACAACTACAACTACAACTACTACTACTACTACTACTACTACTACTACTACTAGTACAGCGCCCTCTCTCCGGGCTTTCGGGCTTCAAATTGAGCACGTTGATGGTGCGCTTCATGAGCCGCCTGCGAGTTCGGACTCGCTTCGGTCGTTCGATCCCATCGGCCTCGATCCCATCAGCCTCCGTTCGGACCGCTGCGCCACCGCACATTTGATTGACGTCTGCGAGTGAAAAGAAATTGCATTCAATGGGTAGACTGGTCGGTTCCTTTCTTCCAGAGGGTCGTTGCAGAGGGTCGTTCTCCCTATTTTGAGCTACACACTCCGGAAGGCGACACCCTCGAAGATGACTGAAGGACACGCTCACAGCGCCCCCTCTCCGGGCTTTCGGGGTCCAAATTGAGCGCGTTGATGATCTTTTTTCTGCAGCTCCGTTGAGCGCCTCCGCGGGACCGGTCGAGGAATGGCGGAAACTCGCACCTTCGGAGTTCGGGTGTACTAGGAACAAGAAGCTCTAGGCCTCACGACTACTAAACCGCTGAGCGCGGGGTTATTTCAACAGCGGCCCCTCTCCGGACTTTCAGGCACCAAGTTCAATAAGATCGCGAGCATCCGCCTGCGAGTTCGGACTCGCTTCGGTCATTCGATCCTTATCGGCCTATATCGACGCAAAAACCGCAACTGTTGCAAAAAAACGTGCCTTGCTGTTCGGAATGACACCACTGCTGTCTGGAAATACCCCGCTTACTGTTGCAATTAACGCGCCCCCCCAAGCAATGGGTCCATGTCATTGAAAAGGGGTCTGGGTCAAGGATCAATCCTAGTATTGGATGGAAGGTCGACAACACGATAATTGGACACCGTGGGGGGAAACCTTCCTGGTCTCAGTCTTGCGTGATTGCTGTGTTTGCAACTTCAATTCACTGGGCACGACATTCCATGACCCAGCCTAAAACTTGCTAACTTTCCAAATAATAGCATATTATTTTGGAGGCCCTTGTTTGGAGAGGTGAAGCACCCCTCACTACAAAAATTCAAGGCAGCCAAAAAACAAACAACAAGATTCTTGTAGCCCCCACCCCACCCCTCAAATAAGGTGGCAATGTGGAAGCTATATATATATTACTGTACTGTATTTATAATATCATCATATATCATCATATGATATCCCTGAAAAAAAATCTCCAGACTCAGTATAGATATCAGGAATCCACCTCCCTATCAGGCCCTATCTAATTTATTTGGGGGGTGGGGGACCCCCCAAAGCACCCAGTGTCCTCGAGTTCCACTTCTCTATCTAAATTATTTCGGGGGTGGGGGGACCCCCCAAAGCACCCTTCAAATCTTTGCTATCAATCCTGATTCCTAGGAAAACTATTTAGGAGTCCTGCCACCTAAAGAAGTCGTACGGTATCGTAATTATTTGGACCCACCTTCACCTCAAGTTGAAATGCATTTCTGGACCCACCCAAACCCCACCCCAGTCAAATAAATATTCAACACATTATTTCAAAAATACTATTTCAAGAGGTGACCCCCACCCCCAAAATAATTACCCAAGGGGGCCCGCATAAACAGCCCCACCTAGGCGCTGAAGATGCCAGGCCCCCACACGAGCCCTCACCGCCTTTGCCGCAAGCGAAGCGGACAGGGCTTATCAAACCGGCGCATATCGCCAAACCCAGTTCAAACCCCAGGGATGCACAGCCCTCTTGGCGCCTACATAAAAGTGTCTCCAATCACCTTCTCAGAGGGCGCGTGGATGCATAAGGAAAGCAGTTGATGGCCGGCTTGGCATAGTGATGGATGGATCCATACGGGTAGCTCCCATATTTTCGCTACCTAACTTGGGGAGTGTGCCATCGATCCTCTGAAAACCACTCTAAATTGACATTCCTTTTTCACCACATCAGGCTTCCTTCAGCATACGAAGGACCTAAAGGAGCCTGGTGTTTGTGCAAGCCCGTTTCAACCATGTATCTAT